GGTTAGCATGTGAGACTACTGTACCTGTTAGCATGTGGTTAGCATGTGAGACTACTGTACATGTTAGCATGTGGTTAGCATGTGAGACTACTGTACATGTTAGCATGTGATACTACTGTACATGTTAGCATGTGGTTAGCATGTGAGACTACTGTACATGTTAGCATGTGGTTAGCATGTGAGACTACTGTACATGTTAGCATGTGAGACTACTGTACATGTTAGCATGTGATACTACTGTACATGTTAGCATGTGGTTAGCATGTGAGACTACTGTACATGTTAGCATGTGATACTACTGTACATGTTAGCATGTGGTTAGCATGTGAGACTACTGTACATGTTAGCATGTGGTTAGCATGTGAGACTACTGTACATGTTAGCATGTGAGACTACTGTACATGTTAGCATGTGGTTAGCATGTGAGACTACTGTACATGTTAGCATGTGGTTAGCATGTGAGACTACTGTACATGTTAGCATGTGGTTAGCATGTGAGACTACTGTACATGTTAGCATGTGGTTAGCATGTGAGACTACTGTACCTGTTAGCATGTGGTTAGCATGTGAGACTACTGTACATGTTAGCATGTGGTTAGCATGTGAGACTACTGTACATGTTAGCATGTGATACTACTGTACATGTTAGCATGTGGTTAGCATGTGAGACTACTGTACATGTTAGCATGTGGTTAGCATGTGAGACTACTGTACATGTTAGCATGTGGTTAGCATGTGAGACTACTGTACATGTTAGCATGTGGTTAGCATGTGAGACTACTGTACATGTTAGCATGTGGTTAGCATGTGAGACTACTGTACTGTTAGCATGTTAGCATGTGAGACTACTGTACATGTTAGCATGTGGTTAGCATGTGAGACTACTGTACATGTTAGCATGTGGTTAGCATGTGAGACTACTGTACATGTTAGCATGTGGTTAGCATGTGATACTACTGTACATGTTAGCATGTGGTTAGCATGTGAGACTACTGTACATGTTAGCATGTGGTTAGCATGTGAGACTACTGTACATGTTAGCATGTGGTTAGCATGTGAGACTACTGTACATGTTAGCATGTGGTTAGCATGTGAGACTACTGTACATGTTAGCATGTGGTTAGCATGTGAGACTACTGTACATGTTAGCATGTGGTTAGCATGTGAGACTACTGTACATGTTAGCATGTGGTTAGCATGTGAGACTACTGTACATGTTAGCATGTGATACTACTGTACATGTTAGCATGTGGTTAGCATGTGAGACTACTGTACATGTTAGCATGTGGTTAGCATGTGAGACTACTGTACATGTTAGCATGTGGTTAGCATGTGAGACTACTGTACATGTTAGCATGTGGTTAGCATGTGAGACTACTGTACATGTTAGCATGTGGTTAGCATGTGAGACTACTGTACATGTTAGCATGTGGTTAGCATGTGAGACTACTGTAGATGGGATCTAAGGCTATATCCACACGAAGACAAAACGCTTATAATTTCAGAAACTTTTTCTGTAAACACGGAGTTAGCTCAGTAAATGTGTGCGTCCATATGAATGTAGTCAATACGCCTGAAAACGCTGTGAAACTATGCCAGACCTGTTGGTGGCGCTGTGACGCAATGACGGGATCAAGCCCAAACTTCCGTGACGGGAACTGGGCATGTGCAGAATTTAGTAAACAGACAACATGGCGAGTGGGCGAGCTGGTACTACATTAGTATGGACGGACGATGAGGTTGAACTGTTGCTTCGGGTTGCACTGGATTACAAAACCAACAAGCTACATTGTTGTTGTCATTATTTTCTGAGTGCGGCGCATGCTGCTTTAACAAGAGGCGGGGCGATGACGCGTCTCAGATACATTGCGGAGAGGCAGTAACCACGGAGCGGCATATACGGAGTTTTGAAATCTTTCCACTCTGGGACCTACTTTCAAAAATGTTCGTTTACCCCCCCCCAAAACGCCGGCCTCGTATGGACGATACACTGGATTGATAAAGTATTTTTGCGTTTAGGCCTGAGCTTGACTTCGTGTGGACAGGGCCTAAGTGACAGAGTAAAGTGACAGTGGACACATAAGTACAGTAGTAGAAAGTAGTAGTAATCTTTATTTATATACCGCCTTTTCACTGCACATCGGAGTCTCAAAGCGGTTTACAATTGTTATTTTTGGGAGCGGGGCCAGTACAGGAGGCACATGCCAGATCTATTGTACATATTTTTAGTGGTAGGGGAAACCGGAGCACCCGGAGGAAACCTACGCAGACACAGGGAGAACATGCAAACTCCACTCAGAAAGGCCCTGGTCCAACCGGGATTCGAACCCAGGACCTTCTTGCTGAGAGGCGAGAGTGCTATCCACTCAGCCACCGTGCCGCCCCATAAGGTCCCATATTGTCATTACTAAACAATATCTCCAACTCAGCAGCAGAACCAGCAGCAGAACCAGCAGCAGAACCAGCAGCAGAACCAGCAGCAGAACCAGCAGCAGAACCAGCAGCAGAACCAGCAGCAGAACCAGCAGCAGAACCAGCAGCAGAACCAGCAGCAGAACCAGCAGCGGCCTCAGCCCATCTCCCGTCAGACCCAGGCAGATACATGGATGTGTTTATGTAACGATGGCATAATCCTCAGCACATTCGTGTAAGTCCAAAGGTTTATCCATTAAATTAACTGCTCACTCCAGTCTCTTTCATTTGTTTGTGTCGCTGCGTAAAAATAACAAACATTATTATTCTGAAAGGAGCACTCTGTAACTTTTATACTGAATGGTTATTATCCCTTTGCATAATGTTTCAAAGGACGGCCATTTCCTGGATACAACAATGAAGTTAAGACGTCCTGCTGGGACTCTGAGGAGCACAGGGACTGGCCTCCTGCTGGGACTCTGAGGAGCACAGGGACTAGCCTCCTGCTGGGACTCTGAGGAGCACAGGGACTAGCCTCCTGCTGGGACTCTGAGGAGCACAGGGACTGGCCTCCTGCTGGGACTCTGAGGAGCACAGGGACTAGCCTCCTGCTGGGACTCTGAGGAGCACAGGGACTGGCCTCCTGCTGGGACTCTGAGGAGCACAGGGACTGCCTCCTGCTGGGACTCTGAGGAGCACAGGGACTAGCCTCCTGCTGGGACTCTGAGGAGCACAGGGACTGGCCTCCTGCTGGGACTCTGAGGAGCACAGGGACTGGCCTCCTGCTGGGACTCTGAGGAGCACAGGGACTGCCTCCTGCTGGGACTCTGAGGAGCACAGGGACTGGCCTCCTGCTGGGACTCTGAGGAGCACAGGGACTGGACTCCTGCTGGGACTCTGAGGAGCACAGGGACTGGCCTCCTGCTGGGACTCTGAGGAGCACAGGGACTGCCTCCTGCTGGGACTCTGAGGAGCACAGGGACTAGCCTCCTGCTGGGACTCTGAGGAGCACAGGGACTGGCCTCCTGCTGGGACTCTGAGGAGCACAGGGACTGGCCTCCTGCTGGGACTCTGAGGAGCACAGGGACTGGCCTCCTGCTGGGACTCAGAGTCAGGACTAACTTGGGGAGGCAGCATTTCAGATCCATGCAGCTAAGATAAGATAGACTTTATTGATCCCACAATAGAAAAATGTACAAGCTGATATCTGGAACAGTCTTCCTGAAAATGTGAGACAGGTTTCTTCTCTGACAATGTTTAAATCCAGGTTAAAAACAGATCTGTGCATTCAACTGAAGGATTTACTCTTTATACTATAGCACTTTCAGTTGCCTTGTGCTTGAACCGTGCTATGCCATTAAACTAGCCTTGCCTTGTCCACGCTCTCGTAACAGACAAACAAGACCTTGCATCACTTTCTTATGCAATTTCCAAAACAAAAACATGCAGCAATGAAACCGATGGACGTGTACGATCAGAAGCAGAGCGGAGTGTCCTGAAGCAGAGACAGCACACTCCGCTCCCGGCTCTCAAATTTCACATCTACAACACCAGATATTCCCAGATCCATTACAGAATATGACGTTATTACATATTTACACTGCATCACAACCATGAGGAATGCCACTGTAAACACACACACGCACGCACGCACGCACGCACGCACACAGCTCGGCCTATTGTTGGGAGGATACTAGATTCTTGTGTGGGCTCAGTCAGATGTCTTCTATGGACTATGTGAGGTCACTTTTGCACAGGCTTTTTAACGCAACACACAGCAGTGCAAACATAGCCAGGGGGTACGTATCAAACCTGTACACACGTTCTGAATGAATGAGAATAGGCCACACACGCTCTTCTATATCACAGACAGTGACGAGTGTAAGGCCATGTCCACTCTGAGAGGTAAGTGTATGGAGGATATAGGATTGTGAAGGCGGAGCTGTGCCACTTCCTCACACGATCCTGACGCGTAAAACCCCCCCACACCAAACGACCCTGGCGCCTGCGGATCAATTGAAACCAGTGCCATGCTCCACGCAAGGTGATTATTGACGGCCTAATTCGAGTGATCATAAAAGACATAAAGCCACCGCGGTGCTGTCCCAACCAGGTCACATCCCATCTCTCTGAATGAGCAGTCAGATGTGTGGGCTCTGCTCTTGTGACTAAGCATGTATCTTCCCCCCTCTCCATCCATGTCCAGGGCAGCAGGACAGATGACGCTGCCTATATCCCACACTGTCCACGCACGGATAGTGGCCTTCTGCGCTCGCCTGGAATCATCATTTATCCTCCTGGCGTGTGTTTGAATGCACCGAGGCATGTGTATATATATAGAAACTCGCATAAAGGCAGGTGCACCTGTCTGCAGAGCGCTCTATTGTGTCTCTATCATCCTGGGCCGGGAGCCGCTTGTGTGTGTGTGTGTGTGGATGTATGGACCGGAGAACGTGTTCCCCCCCGCGGTGTTTCTTACCGTGTCCGTGCGTCTGCGCTCATTCCCCCATCATCATCATCATCATCATCACCATCCTCTCCAGCTTCAGACTCTCGTTGTTAATTCCTGTCTGGCACTGCTCTGTCCCATGTCACATTTCTCCGCTGCAGCAGAAGCACTGTCTCCGCCTCCTCCGCCGCCGTCTGACGTCATGCGCGCGGACCTGCACTTACGCCTGAGCTCCACCAGAGGGCGCTGCGTGTGCGGGAAACAAGAGCCAAACCATAGACTGTAAATAATATCAGACTTAATATATATATAGTCTATGTATCAGACAAAAGATATTTCTCTCCTCGTGTGTCACGCTTTGTACTGAATACCTGGAGTTTGAAGCGAAGTTTTATCTAATGTCAAAAAACCCTAGAACGCAGTCAATATGACGGCTTTTAATTTTGGAAGTGTAATTACTCAGGTCGTGTACATTTGTGCTCTTCCTGACTTTATCTATAACTAGTTTATTTTTATGTCATTGAATTCATGTCTAGTTCTACCTTTACCCGCGGACTCCCACCAGAGAAGCGAAAGGGGTAGTTACTATAGCAACTTATTGCTTACATGCAGTTATCATTCTATAGCTTTAAAACTTTAAAACTAGCTTCTTTTTGTCTGTTTTTATTCTTTACTTTTTTTCAAACATTTTTACAATTACATTCACCAGTTTAGCACTTAAATCATTGTATCTGATGGAAAAATCACTAACAGTTCCGGAAATTTTAAGAATCCAATTGTTTTTAAAGGCAGCTATCAAATTGACTGCTCCTAGCTAGTGCTAACGAGATAGCTACTGTGCACTTTTTCTGTTGGGATTTTATTTGTTTGTTGTCATTACTTTTACTGGACCTGAGTATCGGGTATTAAAGCTGGGCTACCTAACTTCAAAAGCACAAACATGTCACACTAATTACTGTATGATACTAAAATGGCCTCTGTCACATACTGTATTTAAATCTGCATTTTCAGACATAAATGTGACAAGAGAGGATCACCCTAACTTTTTATTGTGTATAATATATTCACAACATATTACTTTTACAAGACTATCTCAGGGGCGACAACAACATTGATTTTTTTTTAATTAAAAGAATAAAGTTAGGTTTATTCCACTCAACTTTAACCCAAGGGAAACTAATCTTTGTTCATGAATTATCACCCACTGTGCTCCAAGGTTGACTTTATGTTTCTGACTTTGCTTACCTTTCCACAGAAGTCAAAATAAACAGTCCTATCATCCTTTGTTGTTCCAAGGCTATACAGCTGATGTGCGCGCGAGCAGGGGAAGTCCGTGGGAGGGTGAGGGGGGGGTGAGAGGGTGAGGGGGGGAGGGGGTGGGAGGGTGAGGGGGGTGAGGGGGTGGCAGGGTGTCGCGCACTGATCTGGAGTCAGTTTGCTCCTCTCCTCGCTGTGCACCTGCCTCAGCGGAGTCCACCACGGTGCGTCTTCTCCAGCTCCCGTCTTCAGCCATGGGGGCCCCGGTGCGCACGGAGGTCCCACAGCGGCGCACGCTCCTCGGTCTCGCGCTGCTCGGTCTGGTGTCGGTGTGTGGTGGATCCTCGTCCTTACTATGTCCCAGTGGAAGGTTCCTGCTGAGAGACCAGTGCGTCCAGTGCCATCTCACCTGCTCCGAGTGCAGCGGACATGAGCTGTTCCAGTGCACCGCCTGTGGCCTGGGTGAGTTTCACCTTTAAAACTTATATGTGTGTGTGTGTGTGTGTGTGTGTGTGTGTGTGTGTGTGTGTGTGTGTGTGTGTGTGTGCGTGTGTGCGTGCGTGTGTGTGCGTGTGTGCGTGCGTGCGTGTATGTGTGTGTGTATCATATATATTGTTTTTGCTTTCGTGATCGCTTGAGGCATATTAAAGCTGGGGTACCTAGCTTTTTTCCTTCTTTTTAAATAATAGTAATTGTGCACGTGTCTGTCTGTGTGCATAAAGTATAACAATAAGAAAGATCAGAAAAAAGATACTATACCCGTATTGTTTTTATTCACAATCGCCTGAGGAATATTAAAGCTGGGGTACCTAACTTTTCTTCTTCTTTTAAATGTGCAATCAGAATGAGCAACATGGAACCACATGTGTTCACTGTCACTTTACCTATAGCCAGACATTTGTAGACATTGGTCATGATCCTGCTCAATGCCCCCCCCCCCACCTATCTCAAGAGTTTTTTATCTTCATGACTATCAATATTGTAGATTAACACTGAGGGCCTCAAACCTATGATGAACTCATGTGAATTATGTACGTACTAAAAAAAAAGTATGAACCAAGTGTAAATATGTGTTTTATTCTGGTTCTTCAAAGTAGCACCTTTTGCTCTGATACTGCTTCACTCTTGGCATTCTCTGGATGAGCTTCAACAGGACCTGAAATGGTCTCCAACAGTCTGGAAGGAGTTCCCATGATGCTTAGCAGTTATGGCCCCTTCACTCTGTGGTCCAGTCCCAAAACCATATGGACTGGGTTCAGGTCCAAAACCATCTGGACTGGGTTCCGGTCCAGTCTCTCTCCTTATTGGTCAAACAGCCCTTACACAGCCTGGTGCGGGTCTACAGCAATAGTCATGAAAGGAAACTCATTGAAAGAGAAAAGTGTGTCCAAACTTTTGGTCTGTACTGTATATGTTAATATATAGTCTATATATATGTTTATGTGTAGTCTATATATATGTTTATGTGTAGTCTATATATATATGTTTATGTGTAGTCTATATATATATGTTTATGTGTAGTCTATATATATGTTTATGTGTAGTCTATATATATATGTTTATGTGTAGTCTATATATATATGTTTATGTGTAGTCTATATATATATGTTTATGTGTGTAATGGGTCATTCTCAGGTTGAAGAGTGAGTCCTGGTTCTGTCTGTGGAGGAGAGACTGGGTTTGTTTGATAAAGGCAGCAGTGTGTGGGTTTTACTGCAGTGTAATGTGATCATTCCCAAAGAGGTCTTTGTTAACGAAAGGACGGGAGGAAACATGGCCCTGGGCTGCACTGCTGCATGTCGCTGCTTCACCTGCAAATCTGCAGCTTCTCTTTCCAGTTACATACAATTATCTAATATGTGTGTTTTTGAAACGTGGGGGGAAAACACAAAGGAGAAGAGTTTGTTATAGGTCACTGCCATCGATACGGCTTTGAGGTGAATGGGAATGGATTCAAAATGGCAGTTTGCGAGTTTGATTTATTGCAGTTGCATTAAAAAGATTCTGCAACAGATTAAGCCTGGTCGTACCACACCATAGTACAAAATACATTTCGTACTAAGGTCTGGATTTGCTCCATTGACTCCGTTAACAGGTGGGAGGGGCTAACTCCTTTTGCAGATTGAAACGACTGGATCTGAGTTTACTGTGACGTATGTAATGAGCCCGAGTGAGTCGTTAGCATTTAGCATTTAGCCTAGCTTTAGCCATCTCCTTTGCCGCTAACGGAGCCCGTGGGGAGTAGCGCCACAATCTTTGCAGCGATTACATTTACTAAACATTCCTCTTGCTTCAGTTTCTTGATAGAACCAGAGCAGAATACTTTACTATCACATTCTTTGTCAAACTACAACCTTCCCGTTCGACGCAAACTCTTGACGTCACAAACATCTAACTACAACACCCGCCTCTCGCGCTCTCTGATTGGTCGGATAGAATTCAACAGATTGTAATCACAGACACAGGGACCAGACCCAGACGTTACATGCAGGACATGATGATTGACAGGAGACAGATTCAGCACAATCATATAACTTGCATAATAATATACAGTTCAAATCAAAAGTGCAGGTTACTAAAACACATATTAACATACACTTCACTAGGTGCAACACAGAGTTACAGTTTATTTTGTCACAAGTCTATGTTTCTGTGGGTTAAAGTTAGGTACCCCAGCTTTAAATTCATATGCTGTGTGTCCAAAAAGAAAGAAAAGGAGTTTAATAAGGGTTTAAGGGGTTATACATATTTTGAATGTTGTACAAAAATGTGACTGTACCTGTCGGTGAAAGCCAGATCCTGTCAGACCTCTGAAACTAAGCAGGGTGGGGCCTGATTAGAGCTGTGATGGGAGACCTTTTGGAACACCAGTGGGGTGGCTGAGGTGAAGTGCCAATCTGTGGTCCTTAGGCAAGACACTTCCCCCACATTAGAATGAGTCTGGTGTGTGTGTGAATGGTTGGTGGTGGTGGGAGGGGCCGATGACACAGACTGGTTGCCTCGCTTCTGTCAGTGTGCCCCAGGGCAGCTGCGGCTACAGTAGTAGTTTATCACCGCCGTGTTTGGAGAGAATTATAATGACATGTGAAGCGTCTTTGAGCGTCCAAAAAATGGTATATTTAACTGTAGCATTATTTATGATAAGATCTGTTCGAGGTTAAATCATTTCTGCTTTATTTCAAATGATAAAAACAAGACATTAACACTTCGTCCTTTGGTAAATCTGATTTCAATGCAGCTACATTTACTTCACAAAATCTGCTCCCAATAAGTACGTAGTAAGTTGTAGGTTTATTTTAACAATGGAGTTTCTGAGTTTCTGCTGAAGAAAGACTAATGAGAGGATCAATGCAAAACTTAATTCCTCTGATCCTCTTATCTGCATCGACCTGCCGCTGTTTGATTTTCTAATTTTCTTCTGCAAGTCAATAAACTTGTCGAGTCCTGTGAGGCAGCTGTTGTTCTGATTTTGAGCTAAAACGCTTTGACGGAAGGAAAGACACATCCCATACAGGTTTTATAATTAAGGCTGAATTTTCTTTTAAATATCCGTCACTAAATCTTCAGACAGACCTGCTGTGTGTGAGACATGACTTTTTCCATTGCAATTCTTGTTATAGAAGTTTTATGCCAAATTTGAACCCTCCAGTTTTAATTCCGACACAATTTTCAGTTAAATCAGTGAGTTTAGACATGAAAAGCTTTGGTCCGTTTTACTTTGTGTGTACAACCTCTATCAAAGGAACCTCTGCAGCATTTTCAAGCTACACTTCACCAAATGTATTAAAAAGTGCAGAAACTATGGGTCAATGTTTTAATGAAGTTCATGTCGTCTGATCCTTTCAAAGAATTAAAGTATAATACAAACATTTAACGTAAAAA